AAGTCAAAATTTAATAAATTAGCTTTGTGACACTGATAAGCTTTTAATTATTATGTCATGCGAATTAAATAGTCTTAATATTAAGTAAAATTTAATTCAATGCACTTTTCTTTTTTTTATTAATTTCATATGACAAATTACATAAAGACTGTGAATGCATTGTTAGTATTATAAAAGGTAATTAGTATCCAGTGCTAATGGTTAATTAATCACATTTAACTAAATTTCGGTAAAGTCAAAAAGCAATTTCTGCAATTTGCTTCAGATCCGCGGTGTTCCATTCTATAAAGCATTTTCGGATATAGCAATTTTTGAAGTGGAACCTATCGATGAATTGGTAGAGAAATTAAACGAAGAAAATAAGGATGAGTATGAAGAAGGGATACATTTTGATCTAGCATGCATATCGGAATCAGTAATTCGAAATAGAAGATCGAATTATATTATTGTTTCATACGGGCGTAGAAGTGAGCTTTTCTTCTATTCGCATTAAATTTGACCTCATTGCTTGTTTTATGTTAATTTTGTTATCCGTAATGGAGAAGAATACGCATGCATATGCACAAATTAAAAAATGTTGATTTCAAATTTCTCCCATATTATTGTCATAAAAATGAGAGCAATAAATTTGTCATTCAGTATGATCCTTAAAAAAAGTTTAGAAAATTTATTACACGAAGCAGATGATAATCCAATTAATGTTCAATTGAATCTTCTTCTTGAAAATAATGTTTATAACGATGAATGCCCGGCAAGCATTCCATTGCCAGCTTGTGCACGTGTTATGCTAATCGAAGGTCAAAATACTATCACTGAGGTTTGAAATGATTTTTTCCTTTTCAAAAAAATTACACATCAATTATATTTTCGTATAAAACTAACTCGTTTATAGTTTGATTTAATTATTAATTTGCCAACTATAAAAATATGAATTTTTATTAAAGTCTGTTGAAATTAAGGATTGCATTAATCTTTCAAATGCCTATTTCACGAAATGTTTGTAAACTTTTTTTTTTTTTTTTAGAAAAACAACGACAAAAACTTTTAGGGTGATGGTGGCGGTGCAGTTATGATGGAAATACGCTATCTACCAATATTAATAGGTATTCTCTCATATCGACAAAATATTGGAAGA